ATTTCATACTTCCAGCGTGACGGTGGCTTGAAGATGTCGACACAGGGTGCCGGGGCTAGAGAAGCTTTTATATGAGATATATTTCTCATTAAAGGGGAATGTGATTGAACTCCGGTTTGTAATCCCAGATTTCCTTTACAAGACATCGCTGACTCTGATGTGGCACGCGTTTCCTAAGAGTCGGGGCAATACAGACCTAATACATTAATGACTTCATCTCTAAGTAATAATAAAAAATCAAAACCGCAAAGTGAACTACAGAAGCATTTGCCCAAAAGACGTATTTGTTGTAACCATGGTTTTATATACAAAGATAATGGAAATTTAGAGAAGGTGAAGTATGTTTTACGCCGCTAAATCACTCTTCTACGATAAGGATAGAGTGAGTTGAGTTTTACGCCGCACTCAGCAATATTCCAGCTATATGGCGGCCCTACGATAAGGATACCACCTCCGTGGCGTAGTGGTTAGAGTATCCGCCCAGGGAGCGGAAAGTCGCGGGTTCGATCTCCGGCCGCGTTATACCAAAAGACGTCAAAATATGGGGCTTGTTGATCCCTGTCTGGCGCTCGGCATTAAAGGGTACAACAAGGACTGGTCGGCTCGGAGCCAGTATAAAGTGTCTGAGTGGGGTAATCATGCTTAACTGCGGCATGGTATCTCAGTGAGCTAGCTTGGGCTAGTACAAGCAGCCATACATACATTAAGACACTATAAACACTCCATGTGTCACTCCATGTGAGAAAGACTGACCATCAGGTTAAAACACTACCTTATCTTGCTGCTCCCGCCAGATGATGTTAATCTTCTATTTTGGATCTAAATACACAAATAATTTTACAGTGCACATTTAACAACACGAAACTTCCAGGAAAAAATCATCCAGACTGTGCAAGAAGATACCTTGTCTAAGATGTGATGGATGTCTTTAAAATGAATTGTCCATAAAGATCCACATGAGGATCCAGAGGGGAGGGGGGGATCCAGAGGGGAGGGGGGAGGATGCAGGGGATGCACAACCCCCAATACATACATACATTTGTATAGCGCCGATATCCAGTACAACTGCTCAAAGGCGCTATAAATGACTTTAAGCAACCCATACTGGTCGCAAGGGGCGACTAAATGGATGGGGTGGCCAGACGGTCACATCGTATTCCACTCGCATAGACCGATGCTCATAAAGCCAGTCTCTGAATGTTTTACAAACCGCTGTCACGTCATGTAAGAAATTGAGTGAATTTCTATAATCCGAATAACGAACAGGTTACTACAAGCCGAAATGTGAGGGATAATATTCCCCATCTGCATTTCGACATCTGTCTGAAATCTGAAAAAAACACCAAAACATTCATTTTATTCTGTCCTTGGCCCTAACAAGGATCACGACATCGTCTTGTAAAAAAACCCTAAAACTATAATGGATGCTGTCTACTTTTCACAATGTTTTCAGCACACGGAGAATTAAACTGGCAACGTAGTATTGGCCATTATCCCCTTCTTAACACTCTGATATGTCGATTATCGATCTCGCCTCTGTAATGGTTCTTCTTACCAGCTAATTTAAACTTATCGCAGTGATTGATTGATAGACTGTAATGAATTTCCAACTGATGCGTGAAAATAATTTGTTAGAATGTTGATCGCGACAATAACCTGGAGTTATCGCCCCGCTAGTTCAACCGTTTATGGCTAGGTGCGCTGAGGAAGCTATTTACGCTTTCTGGCTATGTCTCGTCCATTCAGTGAGACGAAGGGACCTTGTGAAACGGATATTCAATTTTCAGACCCGTCTTTTCGAGTTGATTTGTTAAGTACATTAGGCGTCGTTACTGCCAGCGGAACACGATACAGACAGATGACCAACGAAGAGGACGCGAACATGCATAGCTTGGTTAATTATGCAAAACTGAGTAGGGGTCTTCAGGTTTTGACTTCAAGATTATTGCACTGATAAAGCGATATGCAAGCATGTTTGTACGTGTGTCTGCCTGTGTGATTGCCTGCGTGTGCGGGGATGGTATCATGGTACCTTGCGGGAGTTTAACATGGGTACACAATTCAGACAATGATATTGATTCCGATTTGGCCAGTCCTTGTTTTGGTCCTTAAATCCCGAGTGGAAGGCTGGTAACTTTAAACGCTGTTAAGTATGACACGGATATGTGCTCGAGACGCTGTCTTGGGGTCTGGGGGATAACGGTGTATTAATACCGGTTTGCAAGTTGATATAAGCGACTTAAATATTTCAATAATTATAAAACTACAAGCGACGAACACCTTTCAATGTCCACAAGGAATCTATACTACACGCAGAGTCGATTATGGGATTTGATCAAGGTCGGAGCATGTTATTATAAATCACAACTGAATGAAACTTTGTTGACACCAGATGTTTGTGTCAAGTCACGTCCAAGACGTGGGTTCGATTGCCCATGTGGTTAGCCCACTTCTGGTGTCCTGCGCCGTGAATTTTCTGGGGTGAGTGCGTTTAGTTTTACGCCGCACTCAGCAATATTCCAGCTATATGTCGGCGGTCTGTAAATAATCGAGTCTGGACAAGGCAATCCAGTAATCAACAGCATGAGCATCGATCTACGCAATTGGGAACCGATGACATGTGTCAACCAAGTCAGCAAGCTTAAACACCTGATCCAGTTAATCGCCTCTTACGACAAGCAATGGTTACTGAAGATCAATTCTAACTCGGATCTTCACATGTCAAATTTGCTGGAATATCGCTGACTGCAGCATTAAACCGTACAAAGTACTAAAAAGGTGAACATACCCTACTCAACCTCATCAGTGGGTCCCATCATAAACTGATGCAAAGGCTAGTCAATAGTGTATACATGGTACAAGTCAAAGAAAGGAATTGGATCCCATGCCGCGGATGTATCAATCCAGACAATGTCCTCCACATTTTCTTTAAAAGACCATTGAGGCATTGAATGTTATAAATCGGATCAAACATTTTCCAGTGTCAGATATAACGCTCTTTCAAGTCTCCGTAGAAAGATCAGGATGAACTGTACTTAAGAAATTGAAGGTTGGAGTTGCAGGAATATTTATTTTCGTCATCATTCGTATTTTATGTGTTACGGATTCAGTTTAATTAGCATACATATAATTACAAACTCAGTTCGCTGCTGACACTTCGACAAAAATATGCAGCAAGTTCGTTATATCGGTCTGTTCGTCATAGGCCTCTTCGTCATGAAAGTAGTGTACTGCTTGTAACATATGCTGTTTACTTTCTATTCATATGATGACTGGTAAATCAGTAGATTACAATACCTGAAATAAGAAGGTATGGATGATCAAACATGCATTGATCAAACAGATCAAAATATGAAAGTTCTGTTGAATCCGTTCCCAGATTTACCTCTTTTCATTTCGCAAATCCAACAGAATTTCAGTTCTACAAGCATAAATCCATATGAGCACGGAGAGGAGTTGTTGTCCATTGGGATACCTACTTATTATCTAAAGTCCCAAATCTTTCACATGTTATCTCAAGTGTTATCCGTCAGGAAGTCGAACATTCTACACATTGTTTTCTCAGTTAATTTCAGATGACTTTGATTTCGTTTGATACACGGTCCTGAATCTTTCAACGCACCGTGGATCAAACTTTGAAGTTTTTCATTACGTTTGGTGCAGTGGTGTGAAAAGTTGAAACAAGAAATGTTTTGACAGAAGTGAACTCAACTCGGACCGTTATTGAGACTGTGAAAATCCAAACAAATCCTTTGATTTTCGGAGAATCGAGTTGCATGAATTCCCTACTCTCGATTACTTTCTGGGAGCACTAGAATCTCCCTCCTTGATAGCACGGAGGATCATTTATAATCTGTGAGACAGTGATTTGGTAGTACTATTGCTGGACCTAGTAATAAGTCTTTCCTTCTCCTGACTATGAATCTGAAACAAGACAGAAATGGACAAATAACTTCCGATGTTAAAAGTAATTAACTCCAAACGTTGTCACAATCAGTGGTTTTGGTAGATGTCTCTTTCAGTTAACATGCTCTCCTTAAATGTGACATTAATTAGTATATAGTTAATTTATAACTTCTCTGAACTAACACTTTCAACTGCGGAAGATGTGACGTGCGAATTTGACCAAAAGAAAACCGAAAATGATATTAATGTTATCATTGTTTTCGTACCAATGGATATATCATGTTCATTATGTTCCACGATATTCATACATTTCTTCGCATTGAATGTAATGTTCGTAATTTTCCTCCCAATCAATGTTATCATGTTCTTAGTTTTCTTCCCTATCAATGCTAGCATGTTCATAATGTTCCTCCCAATGAATGTGATCATATATTGGTTTCCTCCCAATCAATGCTATCATATTCATAGTTTTCTTCCCAATCAATGCCAAAATGTTTATAATTTTCCTCCCAATCAATGTGATCATACATAGGTCTCCTCCCATCATATTCATAGTTTTCTTCCAAATCAATGCCAAAATGTTTATAATTTTCCTCCCAATCAATGTGATCATACATAGGTCTCCTCCCATCATATTCATAGTTTTCTTCCCAATCAATGCCAAAATGTTTATAATTTTCCTCCCAATCAATGTGGTCATAGATAGCTCTCCTCCCATCATATTCATAGTTTTCTTCCAAATCAATGCCAAAATGTTTATAATTTTCCTCCCAATCAATGTGATCATACATAGGTCTCCTCCCATCATATTCATGTTTTCCCCCAATCAATGTGATCATACATAGGTCTCCTTCCATCATATTCATGTTTTCCCCCAATCAATGTGATCATATATAGGTCCCCTCCCATCATATTCATGTTTTCTTCCCAATCAACGTTGTCATATTAATTTTTCTGCCACTTAATATCTTATCATGTTCATAATCTCCACCCACCCACCCCTCCAGTCAGTGTTGTCATATATAGTTTTCTTCTCAATAAATGTTATCATATTTCCTATGTGACAATGTATCATAATATCGTCTCCTCACCAGGCATTCCTGCTATTATCACCGTCACCTGGGCTGTGGTAACTCATTATTTCAACGGAGACAAATGCTGGAACGCATCCTCGAATTCTCCCTTCATCTTCATCATATTTGCTCCAATCCTTCTGGCTCTGGTGGTAAGTAAGCAATTATTGTCCTTTCACCTGCTTCATTGCGAGACCCGTGAAGATTTAGAATTATTATTATTATAGGATAGATCCGGGTTAGAATTGGTCTTCAGCAACCCATGCTTGTCGTTAGAGGCGACTAACGGGATCGGGTGGTCAGGTTCGCTGACTTGGTTGACACATGTCATCGTTTCCCAATTGCGTAGATCGATGCTCATGCTGTTGATCACTGGATTGTCTGGTCCAGGATCGATTATTTACAGACCGCCGCCATATAGCTGGACTACTACTGAATGCGGCGTGAAACCAAACAAATAAATCGTCAGTGTGATGTTTATTAGTAATGAAAGTATTCATTACACAATTTTCCTTTCCGTATACGATTCACATAACGTGTTCCTTCACTGCCCACTCGGCTCACTACATTCCCGTTGTCATTTCGGCCAGTGGAACTAAATCGGAACTAGATTCACTAGTTTCACTCGTTCAAGTGGCTATTGCGTCACACAAAACAGTCTGGCGGGAGTCGTAAACCAAAATAAACGGTATACCTTCTACTATATGTTTAACCATTCAACACAAGTGATATTTTCGCTACGCTGACCGTCATGTTGTGATACTGTCAGGGAATCGGTCAATGCTGCCAGAGATATTCTGCAGATAACAAAATGAACAAAGTGAATGTGTTTGATACATAGCAATCTTCCTGCCGGAAGTCTCAGAAATAATCTGGTCTCTCAAGTTCGCTTTCTACTGTTCGTTCTGTCTTTCGTTCGTTATACAATCAATTAATTTTCGCATCAACCATTTCATTGTTACTCCATCATACTTTTCAACTTTCAGCATATTTCCGTCAGCTATCATAATATTAAAGTCAACGTAATACTCATGAGTAGTGTTGTATTTGTCTACGCCTTTCTGTAATTTGCTATCGTGCCTACAACTCGATTCCGTCACGAACATAGATCGACTTATTGAAGCGCTACACGCAATGATTGTGAAATTATATAGCCTTAATTAACCCATTTTGTATTCGTACTTTTCCAAAGATATTCCAAACCTTTTAAATTCAATTTGACCTTATTTAAACTTCAAACAAATACTCAGAAAGAGGAAATTACAGCTTCATGATCATCAACATTGGAAGCTTCAAGATGACAAACAAATATCCTCGTGAGCACGCTTGGAATGTGTTATAGTTAATTGACTTCGAATCTATTAGGAATAGCAGCATGTGATAATACAATGAATAAACACATATATTTGCTCATTTTAGGAGAAGCAGTTAGTACAAAATAATGCTTCATCATGTCACTAAAGCAATCGGAATGAACACCGCGAACACCTGGTGTCATCACTGTTTCATAGTGATTCATAAACATATACTGTGTCATCGTATAACATGGCGACAATCACCGGATTGTCTGGTCCAGACTCGATTTGTTTACAAACAACAACAGCTGTGATACTGCTGAAACAAATATATGCTCATGATATAGTCACAATTGTACAATGGACTTTCTTATGCAAGTGGAAAGGGTTTTGTCACTTTTATTGACTGCGTTTAAGGTCGCTTGAACAGTCAGTATTCCTGTTAGATCACCGTGAAAGGAAAGCCTGTCTTAGACGAATGTAGCATTCAAGCTGTTATCACAGGACCCTGGCACTGAAATCTCAACTGCTGAGTATGAGCCGTGACCACTTCGAAGGGGTTTTTTTGTTGGTTTGTCTAGGTTTTTGCTTGTATTGCTGTTTTATGCCGCACTCAGCAATGTTCCAGTTATATGATGCCGGTCTGTCAGGAATCGAGTCTGGACCAGTCAATCCAGACATTGATCCCATGAGCATTGATCGACGCCAGCATCAACCATGTCACACACATTACCGTTAGCCTCCACTTCCGACAAGCGAGGGTTGCTGAAAACCAAGCATCGTATAATAGGAGGCGGGCTGAAGGAAACAGTGTTCATGAAGATGATATATATTTTATTGTTTGGGTTTCTTTTGTCTGTGTTTTTCAGGCCTCAAAATCTTGTTAATTCTGAGAATTCTCAGAACTGTCATCAGAAACCTTGTAATTTAATTATTAGTTTCTCCTCAAAATATTTCAAAGACACTTGAGACAAATTACTGTGTTTTTTCATGTGAAGAACAAACAGATTGAGGGGAAATAAAAATGTTGAAAGTTTGTACAGTTTAAAATGCTTCTCGGTTTACATTTCAGATTAATCTTGCTTTCCTCATCAACATTATTCGAGTGTTGATAACAAAGTTACGAGCGCACAACACGATAGAATCCAGACGGATAAGGTGAGTCTTCATTATGTTTGTTTATTTGTTTGTTGTTGTTTTGTGTGTTTGATTGTTTGCAGCATTAGTAATACACATTCCAGCCATTTGATACTCGAGTCTGGTCTAGACAAACCGCGGGTTGATATCATGAGCAACGTCTTGCTCACATGGCAATGAACGTACGACATCATCAAAGTCACAAGGATAAGCAACCGGATCAATTGTGTCTCTTTACACAGTCGAGGCTACGGGAACCCGTTAAAAACCGTGATACAGAACACATACTATCACATGATATAAGTGTCATATGATTCTGCTAAGCTTACCCCGGAATAGACTTCATAACGTAATGCATAACAGCGTTCAACGTGACTTCATAACCCAACGTCTGGAGAAATGGCAAATGAGAGGTACACAACCTTTCCCAAGTGTCGTCGAGATAAAATATCCCAACTCGACACAAACTTAAACTTACTTAATTCACTTTTATCTACGAATCTTGATACATTTGGTCTCGGAAGACACCAGAATGTGATTCTGTTCATTATGGTATATATAACACAATTTGTAGAGCGCTTAATATGCTCAGTGGGAGTAAGGACAAATTATGCGCAAAGCGCTGACTTGATTATATTATCCCCGTTAACCCAAGATGCGTATGAAGACCTAGAAAGTTAACAGTCATAAGACTATCTTTTCCCGCCGGGTACCCATTCACGGCTGGGTGAACAGAGACAGTTTTGAGCAGACTTAGCCTAAGGTGTGACAACATGTGTTACATTGCTTCGTTGTGGGACAGGACTGAAGTTCAAGGAACTCCCAGGAGTCAAGCTGCCAAACGCGGTCACCTATGGACTCTTCGTGACCAACGTTGCTTAACTTCAACTGATTTTTCCCATGCAGATCCGGGTTAGAATCGATCTTTAGTAACCCATGCTTGTCGTAGGAGGCGACTAACGGGATCGGGTGGTCAGGCTCGCTGACTTGGTTGACACATGTCATCGTATCCCAATTGCGTAGATTGATGTTCATGCTGTTGATCCCTGGATTGTCTGGTCCAGATCCGATTATTTACAGACCGCCGCCATATAGCTGCAATATTGCTGAGTGCAATTGTTAAAATTAAACTCACTCACTCACTCACTCACTCAACTGATTTTTGACCAGGGCTCTTTGCACTCGAGCACAATCCACAACCACCTTAAACCCTTCTTCCAACTTTAACTATTTGTAAACAATAATAATCTGTTTCTTGAGTATAAATAGTAAACCTACAGCTCCTGTGGCAGAGCGATTACTGATGTCACCTGAATAACGATGTCACATTGAAACTGATGTCAACTTGAATAACGATAACGTCACATCGGCCATATCGGGACTAATGACGTCAAAGTATTCAAAACTGTTCTGCTGATACAGAGGAAAGATATTTCTAGGATGTATCGCTTGATCTCACCCTATATCGATATCCCTTATGTAAACCAGTTATAGATGCTAACATTTAATCATATAAACCATAAGCTTGCACAGGCCGACCAGGGGAGTTAAACGGTCTTTGTTGCTACCTTGCTCCCAGCGGGAAGTTGAAAAGTCGAACCATTGTTATTTAAAAAACCCGTAGGTCAATATTTCCATAAATGTCATATGCTACTTGATATATACAAGGCATGTTTGCGGCAAATAGATCAATAGAACACGCTATAGGTTACGTATGAGTTATACAATCTTGACATTTCCACATTTATTGGAACCCGTCTCAAGTGAAAGAACTAAACCTAAGTGAAATACGATTGACATGATTGAGTGAAATGAGTGCCCGCATGTCACTCAAAGCATGTTTGATCTGTAGAAACAGAGCATTGATTGGTATCCGCTAGGATCATTGATTACTGAAATACATTGACAAATCCAGCATCAAATCGATAGTAGCCAGTGATCTGTTTATCACGAGAGGAAGGAAATCCCTCCAAAACAGAGGAAAGCACTCTGTTGTCAAATAAGGGTGTTTTCGCAAGTCTTCTTAATTGAACGAGCCTTGCCACGAGGTTGCCAATGTAGGAGGTAAAACCAGTGTTGATAAAACCTGCAATTTGACGTTTCCTAATCTTTCATAAGAGTATTAGAGTGTGTGGAAGCGCCATGCTGAATGCTGGCCATTTGCTTTTTGGATAAATTCATTAAGACATTCAGAGAAGCCATCTATATGCACGGTTAATGATGGCTTGAAAAGTCAATGATCACATCAACGTGGTAAAACCTCGCACTCTTTGTGTTTCACCATGAACGAAAAAAATAAATAATTGGAAATACATTTTTAAGGATTTTATATTTCAGATTGACGTTGTAGGTTTATTTAAGTAATGCATTCTGCAACGTGAATACGCAGAGTAATTTGTTGAAGAAGGTATAAAAATGTGTAAGAAAATTCAGAGGTTCCAAAAGGAAGCTGCGTAGGAAATGGGAAGCACTTGTGAACATGTCTTCTTTGGGGGTTTAGTAACGTGTTAATTATTTTGTTATTCGTGAGTGTAAATATAGGCGACGTAATTCTTTCCATAACCATAAAAAGTATCCGCCTAAAGCATAGTTGATAGCTCAGTTCCGACTTAATCATGGGCTTGCGTTTTTTAAGCACTGTTAAAGACCATTGATACCAGGTGTTCGCGAAGCTTAATTATCTTGCACTCACTTGGCTTGGAAGGCCCGATGAACTAAAAAGGTGTCAACTAAAAAGGTGTAAACGAAAAGTTGTACATACGTCTTTTTGTGTGTATGTCTTTATTCATTTTTTAAACGTAGTTCGGACTGCTCAAAACTTCTTAACCATGCATAGACGCTTTGAGTACCCATGCATGGTTCAGCTATGAGAGCTGGCTATTGGTTCTGGTCCAAGCACGTGCATGATGCACGCGCAACAACCCCCCAGAACGCGTCACCAGTGGAAACAAGCATAATTCGAAATTATTCTGAAATGTAGTCCTAATTATTGTTCAGCTCAAGGGGAGTATCTGATGGCGAATCAAGGTGAATGGTAGGTATGTCAATGAACTGTTGGTCCTCATGCTGGTTGCCATTCGATTGTGAGTGAGTGTGTGAGGTGGGTTTAGCGTCGCTTTCTACAATAATGCAGCAATGTCATGTCGGGTGACGTCAGAAATGGGTTTCACACATAGTGCCACTATTGGCGTGACAGGCACACTACTAGGCTAACCCACAGCCCATTTCAGCTGTGAACAGACTGGCACAGAAACATCGGCAAAGCAATGAGGTGAAGGGCAGTCCGAACTCTATACGGCGTCGAGTGACGTCAGTACACGGAGATCTTGACCCCTTCCGCTTGGTTGGGCGACGGCTCTTTGCCATAAGCACCTGTCTTAAGGAGAACCCATGTTTGAGAGAATCGTCATCCATCACATTGAGTTTGGGCTCAAGCGGGGTGATGAGGTATCGTATGCTATCAGATTTCCATCACAAGCTTGTTGTTTGACGAGACGTTAGTGATTGGTTTGGATGTTGTTTAACGCCGCACACAGCAATATGGCGGCGTTCTGTAAATAATCGAGTCTGGACCAGACAATCGAGCGATCAACAGCATGAGCATCGATGTACGCAATTGGGATATGTGTCATGTGTCAACCAAGTCAGCGAGGGTGACCACCCGATCCCGTTAGTAGCCTTTTACAAGCATGGGTTGTTGAAGACCAATTCTAACCCGCATCTGAAACGTGAGGTCAAGGAAGATCCAATGGTCGAACGATACTTGTTGCGTATCACATATAGGCGGACAAAACTAGATGGAGAACCTCTCGGCTTCAAACCCGGATCCGATCAATGTACCACATATTGATATTCACCCTCTGGCTACAACGCCCTTCTATATGGACGAAAGAACGAGAGTATGACATTCTTGACAGTTACCGGAATTCCTTCTGAAGAAAGCCATCACGGCCACCTTTGCGTGGTATGAGACCAGATCAGAAAACTGCAGGAACACATCTTTGGCATCTTGGGGCGTGAGATTCAGGAGCCAATCTCCAGGAACTGTCACAGGCGCGGCACCCTTCATGACAAAACATAATCCAGTAGCTCATCATACGTCTTACCAGAGGCATGAGGAGGAGGCTTGAGGAGGTCAACTGGACACGTGTCGTCTATACACATTATTGACCATGCTGTCACTGGAAGTCATGTTCGGACTGTCAATGTCACGTGTGACAACCGATCAGCCACATTTGGGGCATCCCGACAGCTCCATACTTAAATCATGTCACAATTTTATCAATAATGTGCACAGTGAAATATCCACCTAAATTATTAATACACCTTTCGACAATATTTCGAGAAATAATTGCTCTTCCTAGAAATAGCACACGTTCTGGTTGGATGCTATAGACAAGTCAAGCATAAATCTTGTAACTTCTCTTCAAAATAGCTGTTAACGATTAATTATATTATGTGTATGGATTCGAAAACAGCAATATGTAATCACGTAAGGTTTATGCGTTATATATAGTACATGCTGTGTAAATTAAAAGAATATGTCATATAGTAAGCAACCCATGCCATGTGTGCGTTTGAATCTGCGCGTTTATGTTTGGATGTGTGTGTGTGTGAGCGTGTGTGTGTGTGTGTGTGTGTGTGTGTGTGTGTGTGTGTGTGTGTGTGTGTGTGCGCGCTGCACACCATGTGTGACGAGAGCCTCTAATGAATGACATCTGGACCAGACAATTCAGTGATTGATAACACGAACAAATGATCACCCGATCAACGGCCACCGGAGCCATTAAGTCGCCATATTTTTAAGACATGCTTGGCAAGGGTCCACTTCTAAGTTGGAATCTTCATTGGTTTACGCTCGTAAATTCCACTTTCTTTGAGAGTAATCTAAAATAACACCCAATTCCTTTATTCATGAAAGAAATCTGAGGAAGTGCTCAAGGTGGTTTATAGAACCGGACAAATGCAAATCGAAACGGCTTGCAGAAAGGCCTGTATGTACAGACCTAACTTTCTCTCAGTCACTTTTCTACTTTTTGATGGTCTTAATCTCATTAGCGCCTCTAGCAGTTATCCACAAAATAATTCTGAAAACCCCGAAATCATCAAATACCAGTTTGAGAAGGGTTTTAAGACATGTATAGCTTTTTAAATTTATCACGAAATATCAGCTTGACTGTCTCTTTGTGTTATTTTCACTTCATTTAACACATAATTGCAAAACTGGACCTCAAACAATGAACTCATTAAGTGAGTAAATATATAATGCTTCACTTACCAAACATCAATGTCTAATCAATATGACGACAAAATAAACAGTACGCCCTCGGACTCCGATACAACATAAGCAAACATTGGCACGTCATGGCCACACGATTGTCCTTCACAAGACAAGCATGTACTTCTGGTGATTCTGCCCGGACTGTTCATTGGATATATACAGAACATAGAATCATATCATATCAAAATTTCAAATTTGATTAACTATCAGAAAACATTCCGAGCATTACTGGGCCTTCTGTTAATAAAAGCATACCAACTGTGTGACAAGAATATGTATATGAATAGCTAGATCATAAACAATCCAAAACCAAAACTCGGTCTATAACCAAATTAAAGTAATCAGTGGTAAAACTCCACTTCCGGATTGTACAATTTCCACGATATGGCCCTCAAACAATGATCACGTGTTTGTTGTGTCTCAAAGAGCGATCAAAACACTTGTTCGTGGCCATCAGAAAATGACCATAACATGTGTGTATTCAAGTAGTGGTCATTACACGTATTTATATCCACCTAGTTGTGATCCCAACACGTGATTATGATCATCAAGCAGCGGTCATTACACGTATTTATATCCACCTAGTTGTGATCCCAACACGTGATTATGATCATCAAGCAGTGGTCATTACACGTATTTATATCCACCTAGTTGTGATCCCAACACGTGATTATGATCATCAAGCAGTGGTCATTACACGTGTCTATATCCACCGAGTTGTGATCCCAAAACGTCATTATGATCATCAAGCAGTGGGAATTACACGTATTTATATCCACCGACTTGTGATCCCAACCCGTCATTATGATGTAATCCGTATTTATAACCGACGTGATCCCAACCCGTGAATATGATCATCCAACAATGATCATAACACGTATGCATGACCATCAATCAGTGGTCACCAACACTGGTTCGTGATTTCGAATTCAGTTATGTTAACATACCAAGACAATGGTCCAAACCCATTTCGAACCTTGAGGGAACCAAGTATGAAACAGACCACTCGATGTCTTGTTTTGAAGCCAACTAAGATGGTTCACCAGCTGCTGTAGAATGTGACACATCAACCAACACGGCTCTCTCAATTTCCAAAAGTCAGCTTTCCCTTTCCATGTACAGAACTAATCCAGCAGCACGACCCTTTGAATCTACTTTTCCCATCTTTTGAGGTACAATCGAGCTTGCAAGATTTCTAACAAGATTTCAAAGAGAATCATACGACCCTTGCTGAAAAGGCGCAAAAGCGGACCGATGAATTGCAATCTAACTCGAAAACGAATAAACATAACATACTCAATGAAACGCTGATCATAATCAAAACATCATACCCACTCTGTGAGGTTTCTGCAGAGTTTTTGTCCTAAAAATAAAAAAGTTGTTTCAAAAACTATCATTAAAATATTGACGCAGTTCACTGTTTGTTACGAGGGAGGAGTGCACAGAAAGGGACAGCCAGGTGTTTAAAGAAGCACGTGCACAAGTGCCGACAAAGTTATTGATTCATTAACCTGTGCTGTGCCGTCTCCATCCGTTCTCGAACACCTGGCTGTCCCTTTCTCTGCACTCCTCCCTCGTAACAAATAGTGAATATGGCAGATATTTGGAGTACACACCACAGGTAAAAATGATGTCTGATTGATTTCCCTGTTTTGACTTTCGCCATATGATCCCATGAGTTTTGTTTTGCTTTTTTGCTTTTTCTCTTTTGTTGTTGTTTGTTTTGTTTTTCTCCTGTGCAAAACCGAATTGCTTTTGCATGTGTTTGTGAAGATGGAACCTATAATGCTGAATAAGCTCACCTTTTGGTGAACACCTGACATTAACACTATTTGATGGTGATACACAAACACAAGCTCAAGAAACAATCGAAATCGTACAATGGATCCTACTTTTAGCAGGGATTTATTATGAATATGGAAAGGGTTTTGAAAGATTTTTTTTTAATTTATTTTATTTTTCATGAAACCAAAGTTTTTGAAAAAGTTTTGAAAGATTTATTGAGGCCTTGAATGTTGTACCTTTGATCAAACAACTTTTGAGATGTGTCGTTTGACGTACAATATATCATGTCGAAGTACCCGGTGTTCTAATTGAAACGTGTATTTTCTTTCAGAAAAGCCATCAAAGCGACGGTAGTACTGTTTCCTCTGTTGGGGATCACCAACTGTTTGTTTCTGGCTAAACCGTCAGATGACAAGAGTGTGTTAATGGCGGTCTACAGGGTGACAAACGCCATTCTACCAGCATGTCAGGTACGTTTTGGAGATTTTCATTAATATAGTCTCCCGAAAAAGAAATGCATATGTGTATTTTCGCAACTAGGTGAATGTCTACCACTTCGAGACCGATCTTGCGTAGAATCGGTTTGTTGATATCGGCCCCATAAAACGACTGATAGTACTCTGGTGAACACTGAGGTGACGTGCAACGGCAGATTGAGACTCCCCAGCCTCCAGACGTCCAGTGGCAATGTCCCTGCTCACGATTCCTCAGAACTGCACGTGCATATTGCAAACCACGTTTGTCATGGCATTTTAATGCAAGTTGACACTTCGAAAGTAACTGTGCAGTATACTTTTCGAAGATGCGCTTTTACGCTGTACATTCGTTTCATTACTCAAACTAGGATTATAATGCGAGTGTCTGTTTCACTGATGTATACAACACCAGGACCATTGAACACAGAGCGGTCTTTGCTCTGCGGTGTATTTCAGGTTACGCTTGTGTTAGTCGTCACAATGAGACCGTCCACATTGCGGACGTTGTACGTTACAACGTGCTACTGTACATAATAGTTAGTGAATTTAGTTTGACGCCGCACTCAGCAATGTTTCAGCTATATGGAGGCGGTCTGTGAATAATCGGATCTGGACCATACAATCCAGTGATCAACAGCATTAACATCAATCTACGCAATTGGGATACGATGACATGTGTCAACCAAGTCAGCGAGCCTGACCACCCGATCCCGTAAATCGCCTCTTACTACAAGCGTTCTAACCCGGATCTTCACTGGTCTGTACGTAATAGACTGGCGATTACGACTATAAGTCTATATAAGGTATAGGAGTAACGGTCACCTTAGTGTTATGTAGAACGACACCCAGGCCCTCAAAGCAAGTGATCGCCATCTTAAGCTGCCTATATTATTAAGACCGGCTTACCATAGTCGCAGCACTTATGTCGGATTGCCAATTGCGTAGATCGATGCTCATGCTTTTGTTCACAGGATTGTCTGGTCAATATTCCAGCAATATCACGGCGGGGGACACCAGAAATATGTCGAACGGACGCTTTAACCATTAGACTACCCCACCGTCCCCCTTCTATCCAGATATTAGCTGCGGGACTTTGGATTATTACAATATGATAAGAATAATGTTTGAGATAGAAATTAAATGTTTTCCGGAGAATGCAGTGACAAGTTAGACTCATGTTGTGTATTGTTCAAATTTGTTATACGATGTTTATACATAACGAAACGATGATATACTGGATGTGTCTCAAATTAACGGAGTTTTGTTTTTTGCAGGGAATCTTTGTCACAGTTTTATACTGCTTTATGAATACGGAGGTAAGAATATGTCTACTGCAAACACACGTGCTCCCAGAATGTGATTAGTATTGGAGCCAATCTCTGGATTGTCTGTGATTTTGTGAAATTATATATTTTGTGAAATTATATATTTTGCCTGAAAAGCGTAAAATCTTATATATTTACTCCACCTGATTGACCTTGATTGACACCTGAAACATAAATATTTAGAATAATGTGTTAATTATTTTAACAAATGCATTTGAAACAGCTCCTTCATTTATATTGTGTTCACTACCAATCTGCCTTTAACGCCCAGTGCATCTGTTACTAGCGGTAGCGTTTCATGTCCTGACCCCTCTGTTCCAGGTTCAGAGTGTCATAAGGAAGAAGTGGAACCGATTTCGGATCAACAGAGCAATGAATTCCAGAACAAGGCGGCGAAGTTCAAGGACCTCATCCTTCTTCCTGTCCCAAAGCGAGGTAGTCTTCATGGTTTCGTTTCGGAAGAAAAAAGTCTGGAGTAAGCGGTCACGCCCTCGCCCCTGTGATTACACAATTCCAGAAATAGACAACAGCATGCAATGCACGTGTTTATGCGATGACAAGGACTGTCAGGGGTGTACGGGAGACCCACATTTTGATTAACAAAATCAACTCAAACATAAAGGCTGTCTGGCGCATGTGGGACAATCGTTTTTTGTAGAGTATTATGTTTCTTATTTTCACAAAGCCCGGATCGTGGTAGCAGGTGCCCTTGTTGCCTTTGAGGTGCTTATCAAAGGAGAAGATCCTTTTGTTCATCTGTTGTAAAAGTAGTTCCGGACCTGCGCAGTATCCTCTCCTGCTTCGTAGGCGGTAACCATGGTGAGTGCGTACAGCAATGTCAGAACCAGTCTGGGTCTAAAACTATGGTTGCATGGGCATTGTAGATGCCTTGCTTTGCATGGCTTTTCTAGGCACAAAGTTCTCACAGTCGACGATCTCGAAACACTGTCTTGAAATACATTTCATCTCCTCGTAGCGATGTTTCCCTATTTCGAAACGATATCTATCTGTATCCCCCATGTCTGTGTTACTTATTATTTTAAAGTTTTGCACAGTCGAAATGTACGGAGCGTATACATTGTATATAGTTTGCCTTTATTTTGAGACATGGATATTTCGAAATTTCCACTTGGGTCCCATTAATTCCGAGATAACGGATTTTTATTTATACATTGCACACCACGTTCCTCGACATCAACGATGTGTGTGTTGTTTCAGCATTACTTTTCAAGATAAATAACAATGGTGTACGTCGCATCAAATGCGATCTGCTTCTTTCGTGGATTCGGATTTGCAAGGTATTGATCCTTTACTTTTTATACCATTGGCGCACATTTTTTTAAAGAAGCACCAACGAAAACACAGATGCTATCTCTTCTGCGATTTTTTTCTGTGAGTGTTTTCTTATGTCTTGGTTGTCAGGCATGTTTGAAGTTCACAAAACATAAGTACTCTTTGTTGCTCAACCGCTTTGGTTTGTTTGATGCTTTGGTCTGTTTGGGAAATGACTCGCTCGTACTTCCGTCAAGTTCTTGTTATTGCTGATTACGTAAACGTTCTAAGCACCCGATTGCCCTCCCTCATCCTGGTACAGAGGCTGGTGTTGCTGTTAGGTGAGATGCTTAGAAAAGCATTTTGACACTTAAGGATATCCTTTGATGTGCACAAATTGCACACAAACCACATTGTGGTTTTATACGCTGGGCGGATTTCAGGGATACAACCGCGGATAAATACAGGCATGAATAAACGCTAGTACATTATAACATGTTACGTTTTTTCGAAATAAATAAACAGACATGTAGGTTGTGTATAAAGGATACATTCATGTAATTTCCACGTTAATTTAACGCTGAATTGAGTCTGTTTTGTGGATAAGGGAGTCTGGTTATTCTCTGGTGTTTTACGTTTTCATTAACAAGTGGACAACCATGTACAGACAAACCAACTCGGAAGTCCTTTGGGTCATCGAAATATACGTGGGTATCCGTAGTTTTATGAGACGAACTGATGTCCTGATGTAGACCTTAATTTAAATCCTTTGTATTTAGGTGTCACATCCATGAGTATGTTCAATTTGTACAATCTACAAACAATGTGGTGGTTCCATTCGATTTTACTTGTGAGAGGGATTTGTTATTACCATCCGAAACTGTTCCACTGGACATATTGTTTGTGTGAAATCAAACGATATGTCCTAGGATATATCGTTTTGACAGCAGATTTTATTCAATGCCCTGACGTCATCAACTGCATGAGATCACAATGCTATGACGTCAAAAACATGATGATGCCACAATGCTATGACATCACTGCATTGCACGTGTAATGACAGTACAGTGTTCAGAGATGTACATTTTTCATTGAGAATTAATAAAGAGTGATTCTCGATGATAAATAGATTTCACCCTCGTGTCTTCTGATAGCAAATATATCAACACTCGTTGATAAAAGTAGAAACTTCATACATGAGCCCAGTGATACATTAGCCCAGTGACTTGGTGTGACTGAGATGTAGTCTCGCAATGACGCAGTAACGCAGTGACGTAGTGATGTGAAGATGAACACACGCAGTGATGAAGTGATGCATTTACGCGGTTACGTAGACCGTGATCTAGACACGTAATGACACAGTAGGACAGTGACGTAGTGAGACAGTGATCCAGTGACGTAGTGAGACGGTGATCTAGTGACGTAGTGAGACAGTGAGTGAGACAGTGACTGACGTAGTGAGTGATAGAGTGACATAGTGAGACAGTGATCTAGTGACGTAGTGAGACAGTGATCTAGTGACGTAGTGAGACAGTGATCTGGCGACGAAGTGAGACAGGGATCTAGTGACGTAGTGATCTAGTGACATAGTGAGACAGTGATCTAGTGACGTAGTGACACAGTGTAGAGTGACATAGAGTGATCCAGTGACGTAGTGAGACAGTGATCTAGTGGACAGTGATCTAGCGACACAATGAGACATTAATCTAGTGACATAGTGAGACAGTGACATGACGAAGTGAGACAGTGATCTAGTGAGACAGTGGATCCAGTGACGTAGTGAGACAGTGATCTAGTGACATAGTGAGACAGTGATCTAGTGACGTAGTGACTTAGTGAGACACATTGATCTAGTGACATAGTGAGACCGTAATCTAGTGCGACATAGTGATCTAGTGACGACGTAGTGAGACAGTGATCTAGTGACATAGTGAGACAGTGACTGAGACAGTGATCATAGTGAGTGAGACAGTGAGTGACATAGTGAGACAGTGATCTAGTGACATAGTGAGACAGTGATCTAGTGACATAGTGAGACAGTGATCTAGTAGTGAGACAGACAGTGATCTAGTGACATTACAGTAGTGAGACAGTGATCTAGTGATCTAGTGACATAGTGAGACAGTGAGTGACATAGTGAGACATTGTGATCTGAGTGAGTGACATAGTGAGACAGTGATCTAGTGACATAGTGAGACAGTGATCTAGTGACTAGTGATAGTGAGACATTGATCTAGTGACATAGTGAGACAGTGATCTAGTGACATAGTGAGACATTGATCCAGTGACATTGACAGTGAGTGACATAGTGACATAGTGATAGTGAGATTGATCTAGTGAGACATTGATCTAGTGACATAGTGAGACAGTGATCTAGTGACATAGTGAGACAGTGATCTAGTGACATAGTGAGACATTGATCTAGTGACATAGTGAGACATTGATCTAGTGACATAGTGAGACAGTGATCTAGTGACATAGTGAGACATTGATCTAGTGACATAGTGAGACAGTGATCTAGTGACATAGTGAGACAGTGATCTAGTGACATAGTGAGACATTGATCTAGTGACATAGTGAGACCGTAATCTAGTGACATAGTGAGACAGTGATCTAGTGACATAGTGAGACATTGATCTAAGAAGAAGAAGAAGAAAAAACTGTATTAACCTGAATGGGAATTTGCTGTACATCTTTGGACATTGTGAGACAGTGATAGAGTGACATAGTGAGACAGTGATCTAGTGACGAAGTGAAACAGTGATCTAGTGAAGCAGTGACGTACAGACACGTTGATGTAGTCTCGCAATGACTTAGTAACGCAGTGACGTAGTTATGTATCTCCAAGACGACAACCAGACTGGAACAACTGCCTTATGCTGCCTTGTGCCGACAGATCAAAGTAGTTCAATATCGCCCTTGCCACAGTCGTGAGGAGAAGACTATGATATTTGACGTGCTTTGTTGTACCCAAGACATGATCCTCGATGTTTTCTGACACCGAAATACTCCCATCTCCGCTTTTTTCAGTTTTACACAAATGTTCGGATGCGTTCCTCTTTCTTGTTTTTTGTCTAACCTTTTAGAAATGACATGTGATATATTGGTTTGTTTGTTTTCAAATCAGGTTCCATTTGTTTGTCCTGACGTATAACATTTCTGAAAAACATTTCTGACCTTGTATTTGAGGATTCTCACGAAGTAAATGCAACTACGGCGTTTCTTGCATGGATTGCGCTTTGACGATTTTCTTATCTTTTACTTTGTGGATATTTTGACATTCATAAATTGGCGTGTGTAGTCCAATGAGGATTTTCAATATCTTGACAGATGTCGATTTGCATTTTTCCTTTGACATATGGCAATTCGCATCTGTCACGATTGGTATATCTTGACCTTTGACGATCCAAAGAAAACGTTTATTTAATTAAATACACTTTCAGTCATATTCATGAGATTAAGAGTTTAACTTGAACAATGATAAAAGTGCTTCGTCACGTTAAATGTGTGCAAGTTATTTTCCACACTGTATAATTATATGATCACCGCATTTAATATATTTAACTGCTGAAGAAGGATAACTACAGATTTCACCAGGCTAAATTGAATGAATGAACGTGATAAAAGAATGAAGTTACTGATGAGTCGAGAAGAGAAGCAAAGCGTATGGCCAAAGTATACGTGCTCAATCACAGAACTCTTATTTGTACATACCGCTATTTTTTAAATGCACGACAAAAACTAACACGACTGAGAAAGAAGTACTTTAAATACCTCTACCGGCAGAGTTGATTATTCTTCCTGGATATCTGTGTCTGACCAGTCTGATAGAGTATTGTCCATTTACAGTAAAATATCATTTTCATTCGGTTAAAACAGAGCCAGTATTGATTGAGTTGAAACTCTGACCAGTGCCACGAGAGCTATTACCAAGCTGGCACCATGGTTCAAGGCGGACTGTCAATAAGTACTTCATCACTGTTCTCCTGATCGGGTTGTCACGGACCTCGATATCAGGACCTTCTTCAGAATGCTGATACCAAATAGAGTCTTAAGTCAGTCTTTACAGTGAAAGGGCAAAGACCAGGAACTGTAGTATGGAGAGACACAAAGGTTTGAAGACGTCCACTGAAGAAACCATTAGCATACTAACGGTCGTGTGGACACGGCACTTGCAAATTGTGTTTCCGCAACGACGTCAGGGCTCTGTGATACTTAACGAGGTGCGGTAGGAAAGAATGGCTCCTGATAATAGGTTAATGCCGGTTTAACAGTGTGTAAAGAAAAACTTGACTTTGTAGCTTGGAGGAATTTCCTTATCATTTATGTGTGACTACA